ACCTTGTGAAACTAGACATACAGTCGTGCTTTGACACGATCCCACAAGAGCGGTTGATCCAACTGGCTAGTCGGCTTGTTACTGAGGATGAATATATTGTGACCAAATATGTAGAAATCAGGCCACCAGACGAAACCTCCAATGCAACAATCCCACACCACCATGTAATCAAGACTAAACCGGCGAGGAAATTCATATCCAAGGCGACAGGTTTTGCTGACCTCACAAGTCTATGTGAAGTGCTTGCTGGTAGGGAAGGGAAAAGCAAAAAACATACCATCTTCGTCAACACCTCGACCTACAAAAAATACCAGAGAAACGACATCCTCCGCCTTCTCGAAGAACATGTACGAAACAACCTGGTGAAGATGGGAAAGAAGTATTTTCGACAAAAGACCGGTATCCCGCAGGGATCCATCGTTTCCACCTTGCTTTGCAACTTCTTTTACTCTGAATTCGAGCGGGAACATCTTGCGTTTCTGGATTGTGACAACGCCCTCCTTTTGCGGTTAATTGACGACTATCTCCTCATAACGACGGAGCCAGATCTGGCCTCCCGATTTCTGCATATTATGCTACAAGGCAATCAGGAGTATGGAATTTCGGTTAACCCAGAAAAAATCCTCGTGAACTTCACGACGACTATTCAAGGGCGCAAACTCCCTGGCCTCCTCGAGCCATATCAACGCCAATTTCCATATTGTGGGAACATCATCGACACGTATACACTCTCCCTTATGAAGGATCGCACTCCAAAGGATCCCAGCCTTACCACCTCAGACACCCTAACTGTCGAGGCGAACAAATCCCCTGGAGTAAAGCTCTACCTCAAGGCCGTCAACTCCTTGAAAATGCAGGCGCATGCTATGTTCTTGGACACAAAGCATAACTCGCCCTCGGTAGCGCTCATTAGCATCTATCGCATCTTCCTCGAATCAGCTATGAAACTATATGAGTACACACGTTTCCTTGGCTATCGAGGTCATAGGGGGCGGAGAAACTCCACAGCTACATCATCTTCTCTCCTTATTCGGACTATGGCAGCCGTCATAGATGTTGCCATTCACGTAATTCTGTCGAGAAAATCAACAGCCTCCCAGGCTGGATTCGAGAGTAGCGTGACAAGATCGCAAGTCCGCTGGCTCGCGGCCGCGGCATTTAAGTCGGTTTTGGGTCGCAAACAGACTAAATTTGTTGCAACGATCCATTGGTTGGATAGAGTGAGTAGGGTGTCAGAAACGACAGCCGATGGAGAAGCAGTGATGCTGCAGAAAGTTGTCAAAAATGAGAGATCTTTTTGAGTAAGTAACTAAATTCTATATTTATAATGCTGAAGAATTTTGAAGACTTGAGATGGATTTATAAATTATAATAATATTGATTATTAAATTGTTGAAAATATTTCATAAAATATTCAATTAACAAGAAGATTAATCATTTCTCATAGAGTTTCTGTCTAACCCTTCAATCACATGATCTATTTTCATTACATATAGTTGTTTTCATGACAATCTTAACAATTAATTTAACTTGTCAGTTTGTCAGATTATGAGATTTATTTTACATTCAAACATAGTTCAAAAGTTATTTGTTGAAATAAATGATTTCTTATTTTATTTAATCTATAGATAATTTTATTTATCTTTTATATTTTATATAATAAAGTTTTTATTATATTTATAAATCTTTAATATCATATAAAGAAAATAAAATTTTATAAAATACTTTAATTTATAAATTATATTATATATATATATATATATATATTAATAAAATAATATTTTAAAAATAAAAAAAAAATTTCTATAAGCTCTTACTATATTAACTTGTTTTTAATTTTTTAAATTTTATAATAAAATAATGAATTCGATAAAATTTTATTTTATAATATATTTATATTTATAAGTATTTATTGATTTTATCAATTTTATCACTTTAAATTAATTATCTATCTTTTAGATATTATTTAAATTCTTTAAAACTTTAATTATAGAAGATATTTTAAAAATTTTAATTTTTAATTTTAATATTTTTATTATATTTAAAATTATTAAATTTTTTTAAATTAAATTTATATTTTACTATTAATATAAAGGAAAAATATAACAATGATAATTCTAATTATTATTCTTTTAGTAGAGTATAACTAAGACTAGAAAATAATATAAAAAAAATAAAAAATAAAACTATAGAATAAAAAATTTAACTATAATAATAATATTATTATTAATATTTTTTAATTCAAATATATTTAGTTAATAATTAGAACATTTATTTAACTAAACTAGAATTTAATTATTTTATTATTTTAACTATTAAATAGTATTTAAATTATATAGTTAAAGAGTTTTATCTTAAAATAATATAATATTTAAAAAACTTATAATATATAAAAAACTTATATAATTTTAATTTTTATTTAATATTTCTATTAACTTAAATAAAATAAATAAAAATAATAAAAAAATTTAATAAAAGTAATACTAAATAAATAAAATATTTAAAAAATAAAATAATACTTTGATTTTAATATTATTAATATATATAGATTAATTGTTAATTTTATTTAAAATTAAAGTTTATTTTCTAAAAGTAATTTTTATATTTTTTATAAATTTAATGTGAGAATACTGAAAATAGATGAATTAAATATTAAAAAAAAGTATATAAAGCTATATAACTAGAATTATAAAAGAGTAGATATATAGATATTGTTATAGCTTTAATCTAGATACAGATGAACTGATGTACAATTGTTAGTTATATAATATATCTAAGTAAATACTAAGATGATTTTTAAGAGATGAGTTCAGAGAAGGCTATGTTTATATAGTTCTTTTTTTAGTACTATTTTTCATATTTAAATATTATTCTTATCTAAAATAATTATAAGATTGACTGCTATATTATTATCTAGACAGTTGTAATTTCTCATTATCTCAGTCTGTTCTACATTATCACATTATCTCTTTTGAAGTCTAAATATACTCTTATACTAATAGATTATTATTTGCTTTATCTGCTAAATAGTTATTCTTTTCCCAAGTCTTCAGTCATTTATATAATTATTTTGATAGCTCTACTTTCATTGAATTTATAGTATAAAATTCTTGAATTAGAAGTGATGATCTCTTTAAATTTTGTGCAGAATAACATGTTGAATTTTCATCAAATTCTAGTCATTTTATCTAATATTGAAGTTTTTTATAAGAGATATAACTTGTTAAAACATTCTTAACTTCTTATTTATTTTCTTCTTATATCTTAACTAATTTTGATTTTTCATTTAGTTGTTATAATAGAGAGTTATTTACAGCTTTTTATAGCTTATCAGAAGAGAGTATTGAGTAGATATTCATATTATTCAGTAGTCTTAGTCTGTAGCATTTGTCAACTCTTTCAATAATCTTAAAAGAGTTTTTATTTTACTTTATGAGCTTTCTGCTAAGATGTTGAATTCTATAGTTCTTGAGTGATAGAAAGATCTTATCTTCTATTTTAAAAATTGACTTTTAATGATACTTGTTGATCTATAATTTTATAATTCCTTGTACCTCCCCACATTATCAGCTGCCAGCTTTCAAATTCTCTTTATTTGAATGATATACTGCTGAGTATCTTCTCATTTAAGCTTCTTTTCTGTGTAGTATCTTCAGCAGTAAATTTCAATCAAAGAATATTTAAGATTTATATTTATAAACAATTAGAGAAAATATTATTTCAGTTGATTCATTTATCAAAGCTTCAGCTGCAGGATTCATTATTAGCAGTTACTTATTACAATTGTTTTGATAGTAGTTTACATATAAATGAAGTTAGATTGTTAGATATTCATTGATAATATCATTCTTATCATCTGTTTGTATGTGTGATGAGTTGATAAAAGCTTCAGCTTAACTCTCAATCATTTGATGAACTCATCTCAGAAGTCTAAGATGAATTGTAGTTCACAGTCTAACACAATGAATCTAATACTTCATAGTATTCATAGTAGTACTTCAAGAACAATTTCATCAGTTCTTTGACATGTGTCTTTTTTGTGATAGATATAGATATAGACTTTTTATTTAGTTAATAGATAATCATCAATATTATTTTATAGCCTCTTTTTATCATAGAGTTATTTATGAAGTTTATTGATATATGCTATCAGACTCTGCTGAGAATTGATAGTGACTTCAACAAGCTTGAAGTTTTATTATGAGAGATTTTCATTCATTAACACATTAGATAATTGTTCATATACTGATCAATAATCTTGATTTAGTTATTTCAATAGTATATTATCTTCACTAACAAGCATAGCTTTTCTTTTTTAAAATATACTATTAATGACTGCTTATAAATTTTCTATAAAAAATATACTTAAAGAGTAGAATCTTTTTTAATTGATATTATTAAGTATTTTTCAAAATATAAAAGTTTATTTATTAATACTCAGTGCTGTTCTCTCTATTGTAGTTTCTCATATTATGATCTCAGTAATTTTGTCTCTGTGTTTCTTGCTTTGACTTCATCAAAAATATATATATCTGTATTTAAAATCTTGACCTCAATGAATTTCTTGATGATCTTTGAATTCAATCTTTCTAACTTGAGAAATAATTGCTTTTGCTATCTTTCTAAATCTCTTATTAACTCAGTGTGTCTGTTAGTATATTCTGATATTCAAACTGATATTAAATTAGAAAGTAGAATCAAAAAAGAAACTCTGCTCAGTGCACTTGTCAGATACTGAGAGTTTTAGTTGTCATAAAGCATTTAAGAGTCTGATAATCAGTTAAAGTTTTGAATCTCTATATTTTTTGAAGATTTTTCAACTCAGCATATTATTCTGTCAATACTCTCACAATTACTAGCATCTTTTTATTATAAATTTTATAATTTCTTTCTGCTTCACTCTTTAAGACTGAGTTAAAAACAACTAAAAGTCACTGCTAATTTTTATACAATTGAGATAGAATATCAACTACAGTATCATCTAAAGCATCTGTCTTCACTTGAGTCTTTTGATTCAGATTATAATAACAGAGTGTTGAGATTTCAAACAGAGCTCTTTTTATTTAATCAAAGATAAGCTGATAGGTCTTTTTCTACTCAAAAAATTGATTTTTTCAGATAAGCTTCAAGAGTAACTTCACATCTGACTGTATTTCTTGATAAAATACTAATAAAAGTTACAGTATTTTAAGAAGAATTGACATCTCTTGACTATATTATATACTGCTTATCTTGATATTATTGTAATCTTTTTTAAATTCACTTTAATTCTTTAATTAGTGACAATAAATCTCAAGTACTTTGTCTGTTGAACATGAAACTTGCATTTTGAAACATTTATTGTAGTTCAGTTTTTCTTAATCTAGTCAATATTTTCTTGGTATACTTCTTATATTCTTTTAAAATTTTATTATAAATAAATAAATTATCTACAAAAGTAGTCATAAACTGATTCAAGTAGTCAAAGAAGATAGTATTTATAAAGTATTAAAAAATAACTGAGTCATTATTTAAATCAAAGAGCATGATCTTATACTTATAGATTTTATAATATGTTCTAAAAGCAGTTAGATCTTCAGTCTCAGAGTGCATACATATCTGATAAAAACTTTGAAAAATATCTCATTTGATAAAGAAATTAGTTTCATTTAGTTGCTCTATAAGTTAATCAACTAGTGAAATAATATATCAATTCTTCTTTGAGATTGTATTAAGCTAGCAGTAATTCACATAGAATTTTAATTTACTTACTGTATGAGCTATAAAAATTGAAGATGCAAGTGAGAAGATCATTAATAAATTAAAGCTTTTCTTTAAATTGATTTTCAGATACTGTTTAACTGTCTCAAGTTCCTTTAAGCTCATTCAATATAATGATGCATGGTCAATAGCTTTATTTGAATCAACTTCCTTCTTAAGCTCAATCTTATAGTTCACTTCTTTTTGAAAGAATGATAATTGATTAGAAACTATTTTTGAAAAAATATCATAGAATTTCTTATAATTCTCTGATAGTTATTTATTAATTATCTCTTTATTCTTTAGCTCTGTATCAATAATAATCTTCTTCTTTCTAATAATTCTATCTATTTCATAGAAACTTGAAATAGAGACCTCTGACTTCTTACTTCTTTCATGATGATAAAAGATCACATCTTCAATAAATGTTATTCTTTATTACTTGTTTAATTCATTTTTCATTTGAGTTCTTACAGATCTTTTAGTAACTTTCTGTTTGAATTTCTCATTAATAAGTCTATCTCAATAATCTGTATATTATTAATACTTTAACTTTATCATT